CAGCCATGGTAAATAGTTTTTAGTTTTTAGTTTTTAACGTTTATCTGAGGAAGGCTGAACAGCCGAAACGTCATATTAAATCAAGTCGGACCAGTAAGAAGTTCACGCCGCTGTTCTCATTCAGTATTTGTCTATAAATTCACGTGGTGGTATTGCATCCTTTGGATCCTTCTGCTGGGAGTTCATTGTTTGTGTAAACCTTCATATTCTGCCTGTATATAAATATTGGACGAAATCGGCCCTTGAAGGTCTAAAGTAACCTTGATAGGCATTTTCCTGACAACGTTTTACGTCACGTTTGTTGTTGTGTTCTTTCTTCACAGCTTACGAGACTGTAGGATTTAAAATAGAGTTTTCCTGGACCAGAACTCTTCAAGACCATTACCAGAACAAATCTCTAAATGATTTTCTTGAGCAGCAATTTGAATCTGAGGTTAGAACACGAATCAAACAGTTTGGGACTAGTATCTTTGTAAGAATATAAAGACTAGCGTTCAACGTCTAAAGGGCTAAGACAGCTTTCTGATACAGAGAGACCGTGGGTTTACTTCATTTTAGATATGTTGAATGCCTTGCACCCCTAATTCTTGTACTTTGAGATTCCAACTGGGCAGTCTATTACATGTACGTACCTATACAATGCAATCCATCGATGAAGTTTGTTTAATTTTACTTGCGTTATAAATTATTTTACTTCAGGCACAAAGGTCCTTTGAGGACCTCCAAGATGTACACATTACACATGGCAATGAAGGATTTTTGAGATTAAACTCAAGGTAAGACCACTGATTGTCCAGTCGTGAAGGAATTTATCTGAATTAATTTAAGAAGACTAGAACAACAACAGTTACGGGGGACATATTCGGGGACGTGAAGCAGGATCACGCCCTTTCGTGGGTATGCATTTGACGTATGTTGCAGGGGCAGTACGTAAGCTGGTGCACAGGAAGAGGATATTGGTTCATTTCTATGTTGTAGCGGGGATAGTTGTAAGAACAATGCACACGATGCNTTCTGTGTTGTAGTGGGGAGAGTTTGCAAGAGCAGTGCACACAAGGCTACGTTGAAAACTGAGGTCATTTTGTCCTGATTCATGATGCCACAAATTCAAACTGAATTTTAATCAACACGTTCCGGGGACAAAAAATCGTTTTCGCCAAAACGGGCATGTCTCGGAAAGTAAACCTTCGCTACAACATGTCCCCGCTTTGTGTCCCGTCAGCATGTCCCTGCTTCATGTCAGGCCTTACCATCTCCCCCTTTCAGGTCCCCGCAACATCTTCATGTTTCATGTCCTCGCAACATCTTCCTGTTTAATGTCCCCCGCAAAATCTTCATGTTTCATATCATGGCAACATCTTCCTGTTTCATGTTATCACAACATCTTCCTGTTTCGTGTCCTCCCAACATCTTCCTGTTTCATGTCCACCCAACATCTTCCTGTTTCATGTCATCGCGACATCTTCCTGTTTCGTGTCTTGCCAACATCTTCCTGTTTCATGTCCACCCAACATCTTCATGTTTCATGACATCGCAACATCCTCATGTTTTACGACATCGCAACATCTTCATGTTTCATGTCCTCGCAACATGTCCCTGCTTCAAGCTTATTAACAATCAATAGTCGTGCATGTGTATTCTAAGGAGAGGAGTTCCTTAATATATTTCATAAATGATATAGAATGACCATTATATTTTCTGTGATTTATTTTTATTTATTATTCGTGCCGATAGTTCTCACTTTTTTAATGCTATGCAGTACAAATCTTGCAACTATGGACCTTGTGGTGACCGGGGCAACAACTGATGGAGACGCCTCTGACAAAATAGAAAAAGGAATACTGAAGATGGCGGACTCAAAGGCAATTGGCTTAATCTCTCTAAAGAGTGTTGTTATTTTGGGTGAGTGTTAAAATTGTTGCCCTTTTATTTTCATTTTTCAGACATTGATGTCACTGATTACTCATAACAAAATTCTCGATCGTGATTTG